AAAAAATGGTGTTATTTCCTGTAAAAAACTTCATCCAAAATTTCATTTTTCATATACCCTACAACCTCTAGAGAACATTTTAGTAATAATAATAAAAAAAATTAACATATAACCAACCTATTTCATATTGTTCCATGTATCCTGATGGAACTTTTAACAACTATAATCGAAAAAAATAACGAACTATGAAGACACCCGAGAGATGTATACGACTATTCATACAGTCGACACGATCTTATTTTTTCATACTCATTCACCATCCTGTTGATCCCTTTTTTTCCTGTTGTTGTTCAAGTCATTTGCACCTAATATTGTAAATAGTGTATTTTGTATTGTTCATCTCACATTGCAACAATATGGGATTCCAAAGCGTACGAGCTTGTTCCAAAGGCAAGTAATTTGCCTCGGTGACTGGTAATGAGCCGTTATGTAATTCTCCACGCACCCAAACTGGCAAAACTTGAGGCTGTGTACGTATTTAACCGGCCTCGATTTATTGAACTTCTCGACCCACATTCCCATGCTAACATCTTCCATTTTAAACAACTGAGAAGAATCACAGGCTAAGGGTAAATGATTGAGTTAAGCCCAAGGATAATTTTTCGTAAGGAACACTTCCAAAATGCAAGTTTTGAAATGCATTGTAGAAACCTCTATTTGATTTGGTCTTAATTTTAATCGGACCAAAGTTAGGACTTGTATATAGCTAATGACCATTTTGTATAGGCAAAAATTGCATTTTTAGTCCAGTTTAACGTCATAGCAATTTTAGTCCTAATGTTCCAACATTTCGCTCTTTGATTTGATCCTGTGATTTAATGTTTTGCTTTAATATTTTACTGCAATTTCAGTCCAACATATTCCGAAATCCACATATTTTCGATTAGCAATTCAAGTCCTATAATGTAAAATTTTATTGCAAAAAAAAGACTGAAATTGTAGCAAAATATTAAATCACAAGACCAAAAAGCGGAAAGTTGGAACCTTGGGACTAATATTGCTATGATGTTAAACCAGTAGGACTAAAAAATGCATTTTTGTCATTTTGCCTACTTGACATTTTGCAAGAATAGAAATTGAAACGTTATATAGTTCCAAGTTTTTTCACAAATCGTGCATCCTGCATGACCAAATATCTAACTTGTCTTGTCCGTAATCCATAGCAGCAAGCGCGAGCGAAAGACATAAAATTGCAATTAAAAACCTTACCGTCATATTACTTTTCTCGAAGTCTGAAATAAGGAAGTTGGCAATGTCGCTTGAGATAATATAGCCTGGACCATTTGCATAAGTTGGATAAAGTTCACCCGGCCATTCCTGAACGACAAATGCGAATTAATAATGACATCACCTTCATTAGCATCTTCATCATTTAAAGTATATGAAATAAGTATATAATATCAGCTTCTGGTGTATATTTTCTACCATAAAAAGTCTAATGCATGAACAGAACATAGTCATATTCATATAGATATACTAAAAGACATCTCAGCATTTACTACCGAGCCAACTTCTGTCGGAGTTCGTTGAATGCATGATAAGGAAGTTGTATTTTCTTGCTGTATTTTTTGTTTTCCTGCTTTGTTAAATCTAAGGTTTCGCAATTATCTCAATGAAATAGATCAAAAACTCGAAGGAAAGAGCAAGCTAAAATAGTACCTCTTTCGTGACTGCCCATTTACCACTGCGTAAAGCCTTATGATTGTAGTTCATATTACCGATATACAAGCTCTTCTTCTCTTCTTTTTTCTTAATTTCTTTAATAATCGCATCTACTCTAATAAATGTGTCGTCATCCGCTTTCATAATGTAATTCGCTGATACTGTCCGAATCTGGAATAACAATAGAAGTTCAGGTAAAAACAAAAGGAAAGAAAAAAGAGTACTAAAATATGAAGGGATCAATACCCCTTAAAGTTCAGCATAATCACAAATGCCCTTCCACTTTTGTATCTTTTTTTTTCGCAAAATTTGAGAATGAAATTTTTTTTTTTTTAAAAAAAATTACTACTCACCCCGAATTCACAGAGCGCGATGGTTTTCAAAACGACAAGGTCATAATGGTCCAGATACGGAACCACCACAATGTCTCCAAAAAACTCAGCTTCTTTCCTTACCTCAACATTCACCTCTTTCTTCCGGTGCTGCCGGAAAAAAAATCATATTCCAACATCCATTCATCAGAAGCTAATTACATAGTAATTTGGATCAAACAAAAACTCTTTACCAAAAAAACAAACACTAACCAGCGCCACGAAAAAACGAGCAACGACTTTTGACGACTGAACCAGCTCGTGCTGCATCCACGATTTCCTCACAGCCATTCGCTCGGCAAAGTGGTTACCAGCCGAGAGAATGCCGACAAAGAGCTCAACAGGCCCGTCCAGGACAGGTGGGGCCCGCCACCTGTCGGACAAATCGAGATTTTTCCGATCATAGCCGGCGGCATAGGAGGCAGGCAGGGAAGCAGCGAAAATGGAAATGACGTCAATATCCCCGCCCAAATACAATCCTGTAGCATCCTCGAGAGCAAATCCCTATAATGAAAAACACACTGACCTTTGAGTTTCAAATAGCTCCCTGAGGTTTAGCTTAATTACACAAGTATACAGTTATTATTACACTGACCGGGCGGTAGGGGAATGAGGCAACATGCTTGCCGTCAACAATCATGTGGTAACCTTCCAAGCCAGCCCGAAGCGTTAGGACAAACACTTTTTCCTCGACGAATGGAAAAGGCCACTGTATAACTGTCTTTCGGCCCAATAACCGATTTAACAACCACCCCACGACCGATTCATGGGTAGTGTTGTCTTTGTCCCGACTCCAACTCTCGCATTTTACTAACCCATCCACTGCAAGAAACAAAAGACCAATAATCTATTATGTGAATATAATCAAACTTTCACAAGCATGTCATCTTTCCTCTCAGCCACCTTTCTTGCTCGAGTTCTCGGATATAAAACTCACTTGGATAAATAACTGGAAGAAGCTAACTATAGTACTGTACATCCTAACTTCACACACACAGACATACCCACATTCCTAATTAAGCATCTTTAATGGACATAACATGACTCCCTTTCAGTGTCAACTCATTTATTCCAAATCTCTTTAAATTTTCAAATTCATGTTTTCATGCCCTTAAACCTTTTATTTCCCACAAATGGACCAAAAAAAAAAAAAATATAACAAAAAAATAAGACTAAAATGATCAAATCAATTTTAAAACTCACCGGTGTTCTCACGGGCCCTCGACTTCGAACCCTCACACCTCTGTGAGCTCCCCCATTGCATTCTGTAGCAGCTGTTGAGCTCGATCACGGGCTTTCCACTCCAATCCCCTTTTATCCTCGGATTAAAATGCACAATCCTCGGCGGGTCCTCCCCTTCCGCCATTTTCAGCCCCACAAGCTCCACCATGAACTGAGACGATGCCATCTTACGAGGCCCATTCTTCTTATCCTCCTTCCCATCCTTAGGCTTTGGGCCCGTTGTCTCGTGGGCTGCCCTCGGCCTCCCAATCACCGTCACGTGCGACCCAATCGACAGCCCACACGGCAGAGCCACCGTCCTCCCCTGCATTCTCTCAAATTCCTCGCCCGCAAGCAAAATTGACACCGGGCAAGCAGCAACCTCACCAATTTCACTACGATTAACAGATTTACCGCTGGTGGGGTAACCGTTTCTCCCAATCGATTCGATTTCCCGCCATAGCTTCCCGCCGAGGACGAGGGCGCGCTTGGCGGACTCAGAGGTCGCGTCCTGGCCCCCGACGACGCCGGCAGCGAGGTTAAACCCGGAGACCGTCGGGGTCCGGGCCAGCTCCTCGATTCTCCGCTCGGGCCGCAATTTGTAGGGCAGGATGTCTTCCCGAAGGCCCAATACGTCATCGCCGCCGCCGATCGAAGCTTCTAGAGAGCCAGGGCTGAGCCCAGTTCGCAAAACGAAAGGGAGCTCGAATACGACAAGAAGCACGTACAGAAAACCCAAGGCGATCAGAACCCGGAACGATTTCTGGCGGGTCAGTGAGGCCAGAAGGGCCGAGTCCGTCCTCTTCATGCTTCTGTACCAATCTTTGGTGATTTTTTTTATTATTATTATTTTTGGGAAAAAAAAAAATTAAAAGGGTAACGAAAAATGATGGTGCATTTTCATTTCTGTTAGACAACGCAGAACAAAGAGCAGTGAGGAGAGAAGGGTTTTAGAGAGAGAATGTTAGGTCTGCAACACATAGAAGGCTGCAGGGAGAGAGGGTGGTGATGGTGAATTGAAGAAGGTGGTGGACTGGTAATGAAGGTCTCTTTTTTCTTGGGTTTTTTTTTTTTCTTTTTTATAGTGTGAAATTAATAAATTGATTGTTTTTTTTTATGTTAATTAATTCAAATAAGAGATATATTTATTTAATTATTCATATTTCATGTATAAATTTTTTTCTTTTTCCGCCCCCAATTCACAAATGCCATATATATTTGTTAAAATTATGCATTAATAATAATATTATAATTATGGATGTTAATTTGTGTGCTTAATAAGTTTGGATTCTAGTGAATCCAATTCAATGAACTGACATTAAATAATAACAATCATAATATCATTGTGATCTTAGTGTGATAAAAATATGTATACAATATAAATATGAAAATGCATGTAATATTATATTTTATTTTTATTTATTTATTTTAAATATGAAATTTTAGTTTGAATTTTATTTATGTATTTTTAAAATTTAACATTTTAGATTGAAATTAAGTAGTAGATAAAATTTATTAATATGGTACCAAACTCAAATATATTATTATTTAATTTTGTTTATGTTATTGATAAGAGTATTATATTAGCAAAAAATAATAGTATATAGTTTTTTTATGTGATTAGTTGAGAAGATATCTAAAATCATATTACTGAAATAGAAGTTATTTTTTTTGGGATTTTATTCTCATTCTAGAAAAAGATTACATTATATTGACTCTTTTTGTTTCAAAGTTTGATGTATTTGAATACGGTGAGCTTATAAGCTAATAAAATAAGTTATAAGTTAGCTTATTTGTCTACCAAACATAGCCTAGGTAGCTTTTCGAATAAGCTAGTTGAATTCTTTATTCCAACTAGGTTATCAGCTAATTTTACCAAACACTTTTATCATATAAGTTAGTTTTTCAGCTATAAGCAATAAGCTAAAAAAATTATTGATCAGCTATCAGCTAGCTTATCAACTAGTTTTACCAAACATAGCCGTAAAAGATATAAATATTATTGATCATTATAAAAATTTGAGAAAAAAATACATTAAAAAAATTAGATGGCTTATAGTTTGTTTTGCTCAATGACTATTTTATTTAATTTCCATTCCACTCTTTATGTTTTTCACTATATTTTAATTGAATAAATTTAAGCTATCTGATATCCAATTACTGAGGTTTGTGTAAATCTAAGATTACAATTTAAGTTGACCACCATTTTCTAAATTTGCAATATAATCACTAAGTGATATATAAGTAATTCACCAATTTTTTGTTTGTATGTATTTTTAAGTATGACATTTTCCAATAAATATATGCATATTTATAAAGAAATGGTATGTATGTCTAATTGTTAGGTCCATATAACACAAGAACTATAGTACAATGTACTCCACAAAATAAGAAAAAATTAATATATGGTTGCATCAACCAATATATTTACATAGATATAAATCAATTAAAATATTTTTATATTGAAGAGTAAATATTGAACAATATATATATGCATACATACATACATTTGCATAAGATAAATACAGATATGAAATAAAGGGAAATAATTTGTAACATTATAAATTTCAAATTTTGAGATTATTAAAAAAAAAAATTAGACAAATTGGGCCAGACTTTTGTACGTTCCAAAAATAATCAAAATTATTTGTATTTTCATAAGTGAGAAATTAAAATGGGTCCTCTTCACGTTACCTATCTACTCTTGAAGGTAGGAATATCATACATTACATGTTAATCATCGGATAAAATCTAATTTTACAATATTTGATTAAAATCCCACTCATTAAATTTTAAATATTCATACTTTTATCTTTATCTATATATTAAAAAAATATATATTGTATAATAGATTGCATATGTTTGGAAGGAAATTGCAAATATAGTTCTACAATTATAGAATTTATCGTTTTGTCCGAAAAGTGTCCTTTATGTTTTCAAGATAATAAAGTATTTATGATAAATTAAAATTAGGAGATTATATATATATATATATATATATATATAGAGCTTAGAATAATGGTTTCAAACAGCAAAGAATTATAAATAAATAATCTAACTTATAATGACATGCAATTATGCAAAACTAAACGGGAAGTACTATTGATTTGTTATTGGAATTTATGAGAAAAAATAATGAAAAAAAAAATAATAGTATAATATATTTATAGCAAACAATTATTGAAATCTTCAGGGTCAAATCATATCCAAATCACAATAGTATGTATGCTAGAATATAATCTCTTGTCCACATTCATATTTCATTTAAGATTTATTTCGTTGAATGTAGACTGGGCTTAGCCCGTTGATTAATGGGTCGTACACTCATACTGTCATACCCGTTCGCCACAGGCTTCATGCCCGCACTGAAACCCGGGCCTTAATTATGAAAGTGAATTGCTAAACACCGTCCCTTCTTTACTATATCCACCGTCCTCCTTAGACCGCTCTGCTTCT